TCATGACTCCACCCATCTGTTTCCCCCTCATCGATTGATTAAATAGCAAGGTAGCGTGGGTGGTAGCTTTGGGTGGAAGCCAATCTAGAAGGAAACCCACAACTATAACCACAGAGAAAACAACGAGAAACCACTCCGTCCTCTCTCCCAAGAAGTCATCGCAATACCCGGATAATAAGAAAAAGGAAGCTGTGGAAGGCCATGATTGTCAACTTAGATATGGTATTTATCTCCCTTGCTATATTCGTCACCTTCGTCAGGATAATGAAACGGATAATAGTCATAGTAGTGGTTTTGTTAAATAGTGTGTATAAGTCATACACCAATATAGGAGATACAGGTTCATGCCTTCTAGAAGGGCATTTTAATGCAACAGATTAACCTATTCTAGCCCGTAATCCGTTACACTAACTCTACCCACCCCCATTGTGTGAGTAAATAAAAAAAATGAAAACCGTAAAATTAAATCAAAACAATTAATAAATCCATTAGTGTTGTAGAGTAGCTAGCAACTCTTGAGTACTCTACTAGATAGACTGGCTCATAGTCTTAAATAGTCTACGATTAAGGGCTTCAACAGTTGATTACTAAGTTGATACTAAGCTGATTAATATTCGGACTGATCTTATTTCGTTTGGCTATATAGCATTTGACCCTCGTCTATTCCTTGTAAGTTGTCTTTTTAATTGTTTTGTAACTTATTATTCTGTGTTTTATTGTATGTATCCGTTATACTGGTGCTGAATAAATACATTAAGCGCACATTCTTTTCTGTGTATTATTCACCTCGACGATATAACAATGAGAAAATGAATTCGGTAAATATACAAAAATAGAAATGGGTGTAAGACAAGGATGACTCTTCTTACCGGACTTATTCAACCTTCAGAGTGAAGCAATCCCGTGAGAATTAGAAGTCCTACCAGGATTCATAATTGGCGGCCACCACCTTAACAGTATAAAATATGCAGATGGTGCAGTGTTGATAGATACAGAAAGAAAAGTACAGGAACTTCTACAGAAGATATTAAAGGAAAGACTGAAGAATGGACGAACTATCAATTGCAGGAAGACAGAATGCATGATTATTAGAAAAAAGGAACAGCCCGACATGCAAATAACAAATTGGAGACAGCAAAATCAGGCAAGTACAAATTTTGGAAGTTTTTTTTGGCAGAGGACAGAAAAAGCGACAAGGAAATCATTGCATTGTATAAAGAAACAGAAAAAAAGTATTAAAAAACATTAAAAAATAATTAGAAACGAAGAAAAGAGTACTAAATTGACATTTAATATCAATCCTTCTATATGGCATTGGATGCTGGACAATCTCCTCACAGATGAAGAATGACATGAGGCTACGTAAATGTTGTTCTACAGAAGGATACTGGGAATACCAGGGACTGAATATGTGATTAACGACAAAGTTTTAAAGAAAATGGAAGTATAAAGGATTTATACTTAACATCAGAAAGACACTGTTGAAATTTCTAGGGCACATAACGAGGAAAGAGGTCTTGGAAAATTTGATACTCACAAGACATATTGAAGGCCGAACGGACAGGGAAAAGCATCGTATAATGTACCTAACGGGATTGTGTGAATGGTTGTAAGAATAGTGTTGTGGATTCCGGGTTGAAATCCGGTACCATTAAATAACAAACGCCAAGAATGAATATAGGAAAATAATGTATTAACGTAATAATACAAACTGGTAAAGCAGGTTAGTAGTTCCAGGAATACGGGTTAGTAGCAAAATATATCTATACAGTCTTTGGTATTGAAGTATCGCTGTATGACTTCTTACTGAGTCTACATGCTCGCTCACTGTGGCTCCTACAACGCTGTTACCTCACCCCTCACTCTTCCGGTTACCTACAACCTTTTACTCTGTTACTCTGGACTCGACTAGACTCCTCGGTCTTGCTCTCGGGTCTTCACGTAGCCGTAGTATATGTATATACTGGGTGAGTCCATTTGTGTAAAAAAAAAAGGGGAGAACCCCTCAACAAATAGGGATTAGGAGAGATAACTGAAAGACAACATTTACCAAGAGCTACAAAGGACAGGAAGTTGAAGAACGCCATAGTCGCCAATTCTACAAATTTTACTTATTAACCACAGGCATAAAAAATTAAACATCTTGAGCAAGCAGCCCGAGTCCTTACTAAATCTGAAGTTGCTTTTTATTGCTGGACTAACTTAAAATTCGTGCGGTATTTATGCTTGATCCTGCAGAGGGCTCTTGATTGGGCTTTCAGACGTTGATGCAATAGGCAACAATAAACTAGAGAAGAACTCAAAATTGATCGCTGCATTTAAGTATTGCATTAATACTTAAGCTTACCTTTTAAAAGTTCAACGATAATTCTTCTGTGACCACTTAATTTAAAGACAATTTCATGTACGTAGTGTTGCAGTTTTTGTGTGTATATGTACTAGTGAGCAAGTCCAAATGACTTGACTCACTTTATAGTCCACCAATAGATGGTTAACCAATCAGAAGACGTAAAATATTCAATCCGTCGAGTATAAAGGCGGCCATTTTGTTTACTCTCTCCTAATGTTCAGTGCCAACTTGTCAGGCGAAAGAACAGAAGGAAGAACTACTAAACTACGCTCTGCTACTTTACCAAAATATCCACTGCTAACCTGAACTACGCTTCCCTACTGTCTTCAAAATTTTCACTGCTAACCTCTGGATTCTATACTTAAAGACGGCCGTCATCATGAACAACACGTAGGTCCTTACTTTCCGTAAAAACAATTATTTTTATTTCATGGGAAACCTTCGCTGGATTTCGCAGTTAATTTCGATTATTCCCAAATGTATTCCCAGAGTTATAAAAATTGTTGTCGTACAAAAAAAAAATTCGTCGCCAAAAATCATATAAAAAGATCGCCGAAAACAATTGAAGTAATGAAAACTTGGGAAATCTAAAATTTCAGAATTGAGGGTCCGGATCCGGCCCGGAATGGTTTTAATTTGCTCACGGAGTCGCCCTGATTCCAAAATGGTATGATATGTTGGGTTACGGCCTTTAGGAGTAAAGTTGAAAAGATGTGACACAGTGACATTCCCATAATATATATATATATATATATATATATATATATATATATATATATATATATATATATATAGTTAAACTTAGAGAGCCAGACAAACCTACCACGGGAAGCCTTCCTGATGATCCGCTAAGGTGAAACCGTGGTAGTTTTGTCTGGCTCTCTAGATTTAACTAGGCCTGGCTCTACTTATTGTATTGAGCACTTTATTTAGTTATTTTGCTTACTAGTATTGTTTTTTTTTACTTTGGGATTTGGACTTGCATGCTAGACGATTATTTTCGGCTAACGTACCTGTTCTTTGTTCTTTCTTTTTTTATACCTTTTTTCCCTTTGGTATTGGTTTGATTATTTGCAAATCAAGACACCGAAGGTTTTCGAACGAGTATAGTTTCTTATACTTATAAGATTACTACTACTACTACTACTACTACTAATAATAATAATAATAATAATATATATATATATATATATATATATATATATATATATATATATATATATACTAGCTAAAAGTTGCTCTATCGGGTGGCATTTAAGCTAGCTCATGCGAAGGGCTCTTGATTGGGCCTTCATCACAATAGGTAGGGAGGACTAGATGCGATAGGCAACAATAAACTACAGAAAAACTCAAAATTGAGTGCTGCTTTTAAGTATTCTGTTAATATTTAAACTTATCTTTTAAAAGTTCATCAAAGGAGGAGATAAGCTATTGAGGGTTGTATCCTTTAAAATGAAAAAGTGTGACACACTGAGGCACTGAGATTGACATTTATTATTTAGAAGAGGAAGCTGAGCTATTGAAAGTTAAGTCCCTTTAAATGAAAAAGAGTGACACTGACACACTAATATTGGCATTTATTATATAGGAGGAGATGAACTATTCAGAGTTGTGTCCATTTAATTGAAAAAGTGTGACATACTGGCACACTGACATTGGTATTATATATATATATATATATATATATATATATATATAGAGAGAGAGAGAGAGAGAGAGGGGGGGTAGAAAAGAATGGTAGTTTCTTTTAGCGGTCCAGAAAGAACCAGACTCCTCCTACCTTGATAAATCTTTACAAGAGTCAGATCAGACAAAAGATAGTGTACTACTGTCGTATCCTGGCTGGTGCTGCCCAGTCCTCACTGTCCAACTTTGACGGACTGCAAAAGCATTTACATGGCCTTGTGGGTGATGAATCATTTCCCACTCTTCCATCTCTTTCCACAGGTGAAACGTTCTAGCCTCTCGCAGATCTATCGCTATTATTATGTTCCGACAAATAGATTCCTTAGTTCCACTAGTTCAGACCTTCACAGCTAGAATCCACCAGACTGCGTACACGGTGTCAAATCATCCGCATTCGCCTTTGGATTCCTTTAGTAAGGAGCAAGTTCCACCAGAACTGTCACGACTGCTACAATCTTAACCTCTTCAAGTCTACGTTCAACCGATATCCAATATAATATGCACATCTTCCTCATCCTATTACGTTCTTACTACAATCTCAATCCGTAATTCTCTATCTTGAGAGGCTATTGTGCATTTTATTGGGTGAACAATGATATTTTTTTAAATCGTGTACTACACTTCCTAGTTGCATTTCTGTTCTTCCTTGATTCTAGAGTATACAGACATGATTTGACTTTTGGTTGATCGATTTGTTTTTTACGGCTTATCAACCGTTTGCAGGTTAATTAAATTCATAAAATATTTTCAGAGCGTAATAATTTTTTGTGGGGGGGGAGATAATAATAATTTAGGGATACAAGTCTTACTAATTAACCCAGAGCTGGTGGGTGGAGAAAAAGTGGATTCATATCTTTCCAAAAGGTATTTGCGCGTGAGTGAATATGACGAAGCCGACCGGAATTCGAACTCGGCCTTTCGATTTGCAATTCCGAGCTTTTATTACACCACCCGCACATCCGAGCTTACATCACCTGGTATTGCCAAGCGGTCACCCATCTAGGTACTGACCTAGCTCGACGTTTCTTAACTTCGGTGATCGTACGAGAAGTAGTGTTTCGACTTGATATGACCGTAGTAATCTTTTGTCTTTTGGTGGACAGAATTTAATTTTCAGTTCGAGTTTTTAACCTTCATATGTCTCATTACTTTTATCTGTTGTTGAGCGAAAGGCGTTTAATAACCCTAAACACATAACAATTATAATCACCCTACGCTCATAAAGTGAGTAATCTACCCTCTGGGAGTAAAGCGTTTAATCATCCCACGAGCGTTAAATATTACATTACTCCCATCTGTGTACGCGTTTAATGTCCCTTATGGCCGCAAAGTGTTTAGTCAACCTATGAGCGTAAAGAATTTAATGATCCTATTCACATAATGTATTTAATCCCCTCTATGGCCATAAAGTGTTTAATCATGCTATGTGCGAAAAAATTTAATCACCCTATCTAAAGTGTTTAATCACCGTATGGATGTAAAGTGTTTAATCACTCTATGAGCGAAAATAATTTAATCATCCTATCCGCATAAAGTGTTTAATCCTCGCTATGGGCTTAAAGTATTTAATCACCCTATCGGCTTAAATATATTACTCGTCTAGCTTACTTATTGAATAATCTGAACGAATATCCAGCAAGAATTTCACAAATTTATAATGTTGGCAATGACCGCGCAATTTCCACTTGCCACATGGATTTCAATAAACCTTTTACCAGGTAGCCTTGCTGATATGTTACACGTGATTAAGTGTAAACGGATTCATAAAAATAGAAATTGGTTAGTCTGAGATTCCCAAGAATGCAGCCGGACCTTGGAGTTGGCGTATCGAGACGGAATAAGGATGTACCGAAAGTGAATCTTCCTTATCAAGCTATTTCATGATGTAAGAGTCAAATAATAATAATAATAATAATAAAACTACTGCATATGTTTGTTGTTGTTCTGTAGTTACAGGAAGATATGTAAGACAATTGCGCTACATACCAAAAAGGTGACGAATCTTTTTCTCCAGTTTTTCATTACCGACTCCCTCTGGCGATGCATATCAGCATTGTTTTAAAAGATACACTGACGTGCCCAAATTCTTGCGAGAGGCGATTAGTTATCTGTCATACCATTTCTAACTTGGAGTAGTGCAAAAGCCGACGTGAAAGCAATACTACGAGCGGTCGATAGTTTTCTAGAAATACGTTGAACTATGCCGTCTTTGATAACTGTCCATAGTTCCTTGAGATTTGTAAATGCAGGCTACTGAAACCCCCTGACGAGTGGAGCGAGCGATTACAAAAAGGGCCGTCTACGAAACTGATTTGTCCTGGAAAGGATGGATATATACTGTAACCGAGCAGAAAGTTCAATCTAGCAGGTAAACCGTCATTTGGGTCTGTCACTGGATAACCAACGCCTTTATCCACTGTGTAACTTAAAGATACGTATGAGGACAATAGTGACTAATGTAAATACTGTACTCGAATAGACATACTGTAACCGAGTAGAACAATCTAGCAGGTAACCGTCATGGACCGGTCCTCGTCGTACTGGTAGGCGATAAGCGTAGGCAATAGGCGTCTCTGTACCTCCACATCAGTCTGTATTTATGGCTGACACCAACCAATCATGTTGCCGTGAGGGAGTATGCATATTCATTAGATCAGAAACAATGGAGTCGCAGTGATGAATATAAAATCAATCAAGTAAATGAAAATTTTTTTATTAATCATACATTCATAAATATATATATATATATATATATATATATTATAAATTAATTGAATTTTTAAAACCCAGTAATTTTAAAAAATCTACTCCAAAATTCGCTTGAGGATGAAATGGAACTAATGTCTTTAATTTAATTACAAAATTAAATTCTAAGCTTTTAGCTTCCATTTTTGAAACATGGTTAGAACTGTGTAGCGGAAAAAAACATATTTTAAATCAATTAATTTATAATATTAATGCTCTGTAAATTTACATTGAGCACTATTTTGTAAAAATAAAAATATCTATAAGAATACCGGATTATAAATCTTACTGTTCTTTCTTTATATATATATATATATATATATATATATATATATATATATATATATATATATATATATATATATATATATGGAGGTTATACTTGTTCCAGCGAGAAAAAAGTGTATTTTTTAAAAAGAAGATAAGCCGCAAACGTTTTTGGTTAAAATATGGATTTTTATTTTTAAAGTATATATTATACTCTATTTTCCATAATTCTGCTACACGAGTTTCTGGTTTCGTGACCTTCTTCAAGAAAAGAGTAGATATTTCCACATATTAAAAAAAATGAATTTTCGCGTGGTAGTGATTCAAATGTCTTTCTTGGACTGGTGATAGAGTTTATATATATATATATATATATATATATATATATATATATATATATAGATATAGTTCTCTAGTTAATATTGCGGTCTTTCGCGAGGTACGACGTCATAGAACTTTAATATGAATTTACGATTTGAGACCAGCGCTAAAAGGTCATAACCACCCCACACACATTGACACACAAAATTACAGCATCCATACATAATGACCAAATACAGTCGTCGATTGTGTTATGCTGACATAGAAGATTGCTATGAGACGATAACGGTCGCGAAATATCAGACGTAAATCGTAAATTCCTAAGACAGTTCTATGATGTTGTACCATGAGAAAGAACGAAATATTAATAAGATAACTATATATATATATATATATATATATATATATATATATATATATATATATATAAACGCTTACCACCAATCCAAGAAATATCTACTTTTTGCTTGAAGATGGTTGCGAATCCGGAAACACAACACATTTTGCAGAATTATCGAAAATAGTGTATAATATATATTTGAAAATAAAAACGTTTGCGGTTTATCTTCTTTTATATATATATATATATATATATATATATATATATATATATATATATATATATATATATATATATATAATTTTAGTGAATATATATAATATCCAACATTGATAGCATGACTTGGAGTTTAATGCAACCTTGCAATCTTCAGCCAGCACCTGAAGGTTGCATGAAACTCCGAGTAATGCTATTGACATTGTATATTATGTATATTCACTAATATATACTTAATAGCTCAGTTACATTACATTATTATGAAAACTGTATTGATAAAACCTGAGAAAGAAATATATAATTATGTGCAAGTATATGTGCACATATACATACATATATATATATATATATATATATATATATATATATATATATATATATATATATATATATATATGTATATATCCCGTCTGATAAAGGCCTAAAGAATGAAACATGTCACATGTAAACATTTTCCACTTTGTCAAACTTCTTTTCCCTTAAAATTGTTCTTGATATATAAAAAAATGCATAGAACACTCTGGCAACTGATAATGCTTATATCACATATATAATGCATTAAAAATTCCGTTTCTCTGTAGCGTGTGCCAATAGCCTAGAGGTAAGAGTCTCTGATTGATGTCCAATCTGTTGAATTTCGATCCTGGCTTGAAGCAATCATGTGTCTAGCCACACTGTGTAGTAGAATTATCGAAAATAGAGTATAATATATATTTTAAAATGAAAAAACGTTTGCGGTTTATCTTTTCTTTTAATACACACACACACACACACACATATATATAATCGTATATATATATATATATATATATATATATATATATATATATATATATATATATATATATATATATAATCGTAAATTGTGTTAAGCGTTGAACATGGGATCTCCAACTGATGTTCTGGATTTATCCTTAGTAGATTTGTAAGTAGAAAATTGGCTGTGTCGTCATATAAATCTTGTTTTCCGAAATCAAAATTCATTTTAGTGCTAAATATTTCACTAAAAGTTAGCAAAAAAGTTTTAATAGAAGACTTTTATCTTAAAATTCTGACGTTTGCCAATAATGATCGCCGTGAGGCTGCTTATTTCCGTCAGTGTAAAGAAAAGCATTACTTTGAACTCATCAAAGCTAAGAGTACAATTTCCCGCCATTAAATTTTCTCAACTTGAGTAACTATTTCCGCAGCTGACTCATGTTTTGCCCACCTTTTGAGGCCTTGCTGATTTTTTTTTTTATTAATTTCAACATTATTTCTTTGAGGAAATCTAGCATGTGCCTAAAACTACAAAAAAAAAAAAAAACCAACAAAAAAAAAAAACATCGAAACAAAGAATCACTCTAATGTAACAATGGATGCCGCATTGAGAATGTCTGGGACGTTTCAAACGATGCATATCCGTTTGAGAAGACGTCTAAATCTGCTCTTTAAATTATAAGGGTGTATCAAAAGTATTTTCTTTTTTCATCAGTCCCTTATTACAATAACTTACGCAATATTTTACCGAAGTTGTCTTCTGATAATGTTTTCAACTTTTGATGGTGGCCATGTTCCATGTATACGATTAAAAAAAAAAACAAAAAAAAAACAAGCACTTGGGATTATAACCAGAGCTCGGGTTGTTTAAACTTGTAAGCAATTATTGATAGCATGCTCAGAAGGATAAAATGAAAGAACTCCTAGAAAAAGCAGCAAAGGAAAGCGAGAAGAAAAGACTAACTGTAAGATGACATAATGTATGGTCGTCAGCAAGAATGAAAGGTGAGAGGGAGAGATTGAGACTGAGAGAGAGTGTGATAGAGAAAGTGGGAGAATGAGAGTGAGATAGAGAGTGAGTGAAAGAGTCATTGAGAGGGAGTGAGTGAGAGTGAGAGAGAGAAAGCGTAAGTGACGGGTTAGAGAGAATAAGAGCGTGAGAAGAGAGAGAGAGGGGGGAAGGAGAGATAGAGAAGGGGTATGAATTAGAGACGTCAGAATCAAGTAGGTACAAAAATTTAACCATTTGGGCTGTGTAGTATACATTTGCCCAGACCTCAAATTGCTTACTTTTTGGCTTATGGCCATATCCCGATGAAACATTGGTTCCCGTACGATCACCGAAGTTAAGCAACGTCGAAACTGGTCAGCACGTCGAGAGATGAGCGCTTTGGAATACCAGGTGCTGTAAGTTTGGATATACAAGTGG